GCTATCTGATACTTGGTGTTCATTTTGCAGTGCCGGTGCGTTAGAATGCCTCAGCATCATTCTGAAGCGTGGTGCCGATGCCAACTGTCAAGACAAGTCTGGCAATACTGCCCTGCACATGGCGGCTAGGAATGGGTGAGTGAACGGTGCCGTTGTCCACATGCGTGTGTGTGCGTGTGTTGGTGTGTGTGTGTGTGCGTGTGTGTGCGTGTGTGTGAGCGTGAGAGAGCGTGAGAGAGCGTGTTTGTGTATGTGTATATGTGCGTGTGTACGTGTGTATGCACATGGGTGTGCACATGTGTGTGTGTACGTGTTACGGTCAAACATTTCTTTCTTCTCTTTCTCATTCTCCTAGCTCTTCTTTCATTCTCCTGGGTGGTTACCAACGGCCAGTGCATGCCGGAGTATGTGGTGGTGTGTGTGTCAAAGAAATGAACAAAGAATGTAAAAAAAGAAAAATGAAAAATAGGGATTCATTGGCCAGAAAAAGCCACTTCAATCAGCTGTGTGGTATAGACCAGGCTTGAATTAGTGGCGGTCAATTCATCAGCCTTGCAAGGTGTTGAATGGTGTAATCCCCGCACAAGTTGCTATGTCTATGTCTAACATAGCTGTTCGCAATCATCGCTTCCGCGAGTGGCAGGTCTGAGTGTGAGTGTACGTGTAGTCATATGTGCTTTTACCCAATGCTAATAAACTGGTATTAATATGATCAAGAGTACATGAAAACCAGAGTGTGCAGCTCGGATGGGTTGCTGTCACGGCGGAATTCCGTGATTACATCATTTTAGTGATGTAGTGCGTACACGCAGGATTCAAGCGGGTCTCTTTCTGCACAACTGCAGCTCAGTTGTACGCACTACGCCATTTCCCGCCTCAGATCTGCACCAAATATGATGTAATCACGGAATTCCGCCGTGACAGACACCCATAGCCGAAAAGGCCCCAAGCTGCACACTCTGGTTTTCATGTACTCTTGATATGATTGTTTTTCTTTGCTTTGCAGCCATCGCCGATGTTTTGTACGACTGCTGGAGTACAAAGCTTACATCAACATATCCGACAATGGTGGCCTAACCCCAGTAAGTGTGTGAATCCTGTTGTCGCTGTTGGCTTGATTCCGTGTACCTTGGACTTTGAGTAATTGCTCGGAATGCTCTTTGTTGCAGCTTGGCTGAGATCAGGGAGTAGGTATTTTGCTACTCCCTGTCTGAACTACATCATGAGCACCCAGTGCGCAATGGCTACTGGTTCTATGGTACCGCGATGGAAGAGTCTTTGGTGAAGTGACTGACAACTGCCTACACATTATTCATCTTCTTTCTTGTTGTTTTTGTGTAGTTGCATTGGCTTGCTGCTCGTGGCCACACCGAGCTACTAGTACTGGCTCTGGACCAATTCCAGGCCATAGTTGACCCTGAGGTAGGTAGTCAGAGACTGTGACATTGTTACTGTTGTGTTAGTATTCGTGCTCTGTGTCTGTCTCAATGGTAATCTTCACAAATCTGATCTTATACAGGCTGGGTCTATAATGTACGTGTGCAAGGAGAATTGACACGGTTGCTTCCATACTTGCGATGTTTACTGCATTCATGTTGTGGCGTGCTGAGCACCTTCAACGTCTGTTTGTGTTCCTGTCAGGACTCCAAGGGGCAGACTCCTCTGCATGTCGCTTGCCAGAATGGTCACAAATCGGTGAGTGACAAGAGCGGTGCATCAACGACTTTTATTGATAGATATACATGTATTTATATTCCTCTAGAGGTATCATTCTATCTGTTGAAAAAGGAGGACAAAATGTTACGAGTTATGACTAACTGTCCACCAACGTAACCAGATCTTATACAGTCAGCGAGTGCGACAAAATGGCACAAAACTGACAAAGGAGTACTGAGACATTCGGCGACCTGACACCTTGCTCCAACACTTCTCCAAGGCGCAAACCGACAACCTTCCAACTTGGAAGGCTCAGGTTCGGAAAGGTCCAAGAGGGGAAGTAACACGTAACATGTTGTCCTACTTTTTCACCATAATTTAATTGGCTCAACATCCGAGTTTTAAACATTCTATATGTGTTACTCCACCGTAGAATTTTGCGTCTGTTAGGTCCAGATTTATACGTGGAGATGGGATCTCTACTTTGTGGCGCATGCAAAGAAAATACATGCAGATCTGGTTTGCACCACACGAATGTGGCAGCAAACCTTTAGAAAACTGCTGCATTTTTGGAGCGGGAGATTTCCAGTACACATTCCACTTGATTTCTGTCCATGAAGGTCGAGCAGAATGTCTATGCAATATGGGAAGCCCGAGAACGGGAGTACTCAAATCTTCGAGTTGGACTCCAGTCACGCAGAGCAGAACTGCTCACTATTGAGAGGATTTCCCTGTTAGTGTTCCCTGTGCCGTTCTGTGCCTGATGGCTTAGGTTGTTTCTCTGTTAGTGTTCCCTGTGCCGTTCTGTGCCTGATGGCCCCTTAGATTGTTTCTCTGTTAGTGTTCTCTGTGCCGTTCTGTGCCTGATGGCTTAGATTGTTTCTCTGTTGTGCTGTACTTAGGCTGCTACTAAACTTCTTGAGCACCGGGCAAACACGGAGAAGAAGGACCTCCGTGCGTGGACACCGCTTTTCTTTGCGTGCAGGTTTGTTCCGTTGTTGTCCTCTTGTTGCTGGTGTGTCTTGTGTAATGGGACTGTGTCCATATTGACCACTGCTTATCATGGTCAGCCTGGAAGAGTGGATAGATCAACACGACATCAAAATGAATATGGCTTACAAATTACAATGCCTGCTTGGAATAGTCTTCGTTTTGCCCCCCCCCCCCCCCCCCCCCTCTTTCTTGCTTGGGCCCCTGCATGTATTGCTTGCAATTGTCGCTCGACTGGCTGAATTTGTCTCTGTGATTGACAATACATACATGCACTGCCATGTGAAGCTCTACATTGGTGACTCTGAATTCACCTTCCTGACTATACCGAATGTGGTGCGCAAACACATGGCAACTTTTGATGGAGATCAGCTAGTACAGTATTGACTGTATAACAGTTTCCTGGAATGGCCCAGGTTTACCGGCATGCCACTCATGTCCTCAAGCTAACGAATATGCCATGCTACTGTTGCTGGTGCTGCATGCTTTCTAGATATGGGCAAGTGGAGTGCGTTCGTCTGCTGCTGAAACGTGGGGCGCAGTTGCAACTGGACGCGGAGAATAAGACTGCACTCAACCTGTGTGTTGAGGTAAGTTATTACGACTGCCGTATCAGTCGGGATCCGTGTTCCGTGCCCGATCTCTTTCTACTGGTCTACACTGTGTGCGTGCGTGTGCATGCATGTGCGTGTGCGGGTGTGGGTGTACGTGTGGATGTGCGTGTGTGGTGTGTGTGTGTGTGTGTGTGTGTGTGTGTGTGTGTGTGTGCCAAAGCTGAACTCAGTGCTGTCGACCCCTGCACAAGGGACACGTGACCATTTGATGGCAGTGTTACCAAGGACCAAGGTGTGTGTGTGTGTGTGTGTGTGTGTGTGTGTGCGTGCCGACGACGTGTGGTGATAGTGAGGTGGTGGTGGTGGCAGCGGTGGCAGCGTACGTGTGCGTGTCTGTTTTGAGCATGTGCCTGTAATTCGTCGAGAGAATCTACTGGTACTTAATAGTCCAGTCACTTTATTCAGCACTGTCTGGGATACAGGTGGAGTCCTGATTATTTAAATATGGCATACAATGTAATCTAACATATTTTTAAACATCTAATTCTTTCTTGCGAAACGGATTTCACTCCCGCATAAAGATATCTGATAGTTCGAACATTGGACTACGCACTTGCGCCTAGTTACAAGTACCATGGAATCCACGCATATAAAAAAGTGTGTGGGATGCTTGCCCGACTGTTCGGAGTTTGCAGTGATGTAATTTGAACTTCACGATGCACTGTACTGGCCAGTTCAGTGTGCTGGAAAACAGCGTACTGACCAGTTGAGAGTGTCCGCCTGGTACTTGCAACCAAGTTCAACCGAGAGTTTTGACGTAACTGTGCTGTATCTGTGGCCTGCGTGCAAGCTATTCCCGCTGTTCCACACTTGCTTAATGTGTGTGTATGTGTGTGTTGTTGTTTTCGATGTGCCATGGCTCAGGGAGGCTACGTGACGTGTGCGCTGGTGCTTGTGGAGTACTATCCGCAGCTGCTTGTCCCGTTGTTGAAGATGGTGCAGTCACGTGCAATGGAGGAGGCCAAGGTATGTGCCGGGGAGGGGGGCTAGCAGTCAGACACCCACATCTACAATTTTTTTTACTTTTGCATTCTAGAACCTGGAAAAAAGTTGTCCACAAGATAATCAAATTGCCATCATGTTTGTAATGTGGGGGATTGCCATCATGTTTGTAATGTGGGGGATTGCCATCATGTTTGTAATGTGGGGGATTGCCATCATGTTTGTAATGTGGGGGATTGCCATCATGTTTGTAATGTGGGGGATTGCCATCATGTTTGTAATGTGATGACTCATGCAAATAATTATTTAGCTTACAGTAATGGCAGTTTTTGCAAGCGCCTGCTTTATTCATTCTTATCACCAATTCACGTCTCTCTGCCTCTCTCTCTCCCCATCTCTCTCTCTCTCTCTCTCTCTCTCTCTCTCTCTCTCTCTCTCTCTCTCTCTCTCTCTCTCTCTCTCTCTCTCTCTCTCTCTCTCTCTCTCTCTCTCTCTCGCTCTCTCCCGCTCTCTCCCGCTCTCTCCCGCTCTCTCCCGCTCTCTCCCGCTCTCTCTCTCTCTCTCTCTCTCTCTCTCTCTCTCTCTCTCTCTCTCTCTCCCACCCCCCCCCCTTCCCTCTGTCGCTTAGATCCTGCTGTCGCTGGAGTATCTCTGCAGAGAGAACCAAACGTTTCACATGAAGGTGGTATATGGCCTTGCGGAGCTCACTACTGGCTGTGGTATGGAACTGCTAAGGTACAGTCCATGTCTCTTAGCCTTGCACCGTGATTGTAAGCATGTTTCGATGTGATTAAAAAAAACAAAAAAACAAAAACAAAAAAACTATATAATCTGAGGGACTGGGAAAGGAAAAAAATCTGAAGAAAAAAAATTGACTCACCACCAGGGTTCGAATCAGGGAGCTTTGCTATAGGCCAGCGATAAATACGAGTAATAGATTCAGGCAGCCTGTGCAGTAAAGTAGTGTTTCATGTAGAAGTACAACCAGTGTTTAGTAGGCCACTTCGGTGCGTTTCTGTATTTTGCTATCTCAACATGACATGCATCGAAACTGCTGAGCGATTTCCTAGGATTGTCTCCGATTTGTTGATAGTGGTTACTGGGGTACACTGTAGCTGTGCGGCTTGGATCTTTTATATTTTATTGATTGCTATTGTAACTGTACTGTAATCGGCATGTGTGTGTGTGTGTGTTCACGTGTGTGTGTGTGTGTGTGTGTGTGTGTGTGTGTGTGTGTGTGTGCATGTATGTGCATAGGTGTATGTGTGTGCATGTATGTGCATGGGTGTATGTGTGTGCGTGCATGTGTGTGTGTGTGTGTGTGTGTGTGTGTGTGTGTGTGTGAGTGTGTGTGTGTGTGCATGTGTGTGTGTGTGCGTGTGTGTGTCTGTGTCTATATCTGTGTGTACACAGCTTATCATGCACGTACGACTCGCTGGTGAACAGCTTCTTGCGCACTATTCGTATCCTAGTGCGGCTATGTGGTGATATCAGTGTGTCGCCGATGGAAACCAGCAGTGGCAGCGGTCACCGCACTTCACGCGACAGTGTCTTCTTCAAGTCTGGCCATCGGAGACAAGGCAGCTCTGGCCAGGGTTGCATGGAATCGCAGCATCCGTTTGGTATCCTGGACCCTCTCTGGCACGTCATGACCACCTGGTATGTCATGCTGCGAGAGGAGCTCGAGCAGGAAACCGACCTCTCAGAGATCGTCAGTGTGGATCGCACCAACTCCACAACGTCCGTGCAGTCCACCAACTTTTCCAACAAGCGGAGATTCACCATGGACTCGAAGCCGAGTAAACTGTCCGTCTCTCCTCTCGTCGACTCTGACCACCATCCACGCAACCGCTCTAACACTCTGTTTCGACAGGGCTCGGCCGACAGCATTGCACATGCGTACCAGGACGGCAACAGACATCCACAGCAGCAGCAGCCCCAGCATCAACAGCACCAACAGCAGCAGCAGGCTGGTCTGTCCAGCAGTCAGTCGCTCTCCTACCAGCGGCACCAGGACGTGCTGCACAACCCGGATGCCCGCATTCTGGCAGCGGCCATTGTGCAGAGTTTGCCGGCCGCGGCACGCAAGGCACTGCTCAAGGGTGGACACAGTATGGACTCGCAGTGGTGGCGTGGACTCTTGCAGGCACCACTGCGACGCAAGCTAACCCGTAGCCCGCACGTCAAGAAGCATGAGCATTGGGCAGGTAAGGGTCTAGAAGTACATATCTCGAAGTCTGAAGAAAAATATTGAACTGTCTCTGCTGGGTTGACAGCTATACCATAGCTCGGTTTTTAGAGCATCGCTGGCCTCAAGTAAAGGAATCTCAGTCTTGAAGTTGAGTTGTAAGTCCTAATGGGTTCTTTATTGTATAGCAAGAAAGAGGAGGGCCGGGTACCAATAGGTGAATTTGAGTCTGGTTGATAATGGGGTTGAATGGGTAGAAGAGGGGCACTGAAGGCAATTGTGTTTATTATTATGCCGGTTTGCTCACTGCTGTGTGTGTGTGTGTGTGTGTGTGTGTGTGTGTGTGTGTGTGTGTGTGTGTGTGTGTGTGCGTTTGTGTATGCGTGCGTGTGTGTATGCGTGTGTGTGTGTGTGTGTGTGTGTGTGTGTGTGCGTGTGTGTGTATGTGTGTGTGTGTGTGTGTGTGTGTGTGTGTGTGTGTGTGGATGTGTATGTGCACCTGCTCATGCATGCTTGTGTGTCTGCTTGCACTAGGCGGTCGTCGCCCGGCATCATTCAATGAGTTTGCATTGTTTGAAGATGAGGACGCGCTAAGCCAGTCTTCAGGACACGCTCCCAGCTCCGCAGTGGTAGCCGGATATCGGTCGCTTTCTCGCCAATCTTCTGCGCCCATGATGCCAATTGCTTCCAACGATCAGGACGATCCCGTGACGAGAAGTAGAACGTGGCAGGACTTGTCGTGTCTGGAGAACGTGCCGGATACCGGTGTGGTAACCAAGATGCGGCAAGGAACTTCAGAGCCGTTGCGGCGACACAGCTTGGCCCGCTGCCCGCCACGACTCCAGTTCCAAGCGCCCGATGGCTGCCCGTTGCCCAGCGTTAACAGCGGCAGGGCATCGTCATCGGCACCCACCGCTCCCGCTCCGGTTGCTGACGTGGCCAGCTCTATCAGCAATGGTGCGGTGGCGGCGGATGCAGCAGCGGTGCCGACAACGACGACACGCCAGCGTCGCTCTCAGCAGTCCAATAGCAATTTCACGTGCGTGTGCGAAGCCATGCCTTGCATGTGCCAGTCATCGCGTTACCAAGCGCAGTTCGACTCTGGTGACCTTACGTCGACCGAAGGCGGTAGCTTCAGCTCGGGTAGTGTAGTGGCATCACATCTCGGAGGAGGTTAGTTGGTGCCACATTGTACTCCCCCCCCCCCCCCCCCCCCCCCCCCCCCCCCCCACACACACACACACGCACACCCAGCAGTACAATCCGGACAAACAAGAGGGGGCTATTGATTTTTGCTGGTGTCTGAAATTGCGTTGATTCATTCAAGTTTCCCTGGCTTACTAAGCGAGGGGCACCACCGGGAAGGCTGTAGTAGATGCACCACATACCTTGGCAAGCACTTCAATGTATGGCTGGAGCTGGGACTGTTGAAGACACTTGCATGCCTGAGCACTAATGCAGGAGTTCACCCAGCAGCACCTTTTGCCATTGGCACATGGCCAAAGTACAGTCAAGCAGTACAGTATACATGTACATGCAATAGCCTAGTAATAGCCTAGATACTACTAATCCCTTGGTCCCCGACATGCAGACATTGCTCAATGTCATAGCCAGAGCTTAGTTAGAACATAGCTCTGTCTCTCTGTCTCTCTCTCTCTCTCTCTCTCTCTCTCTCTCTCTCTCTCTCTCTCTCTCTCTCTCTCTCTCTCTCTCTCTCTCTCTCTCTCTCTCTCTCTCTCTCTATCTATCTCTCTCTCTCTATCTCTATCTCTCTCTCTATCTCTATCTCTATCTCTATCTCTATCTCTATCTCTATCTCTATCTCTATCTCTATCTCTCTCTCTCTCTCTCTCTCTCTCTCTCTCTCTCTCTCTCTCTCTCTCTCTCTCTCTCTCTCTCTCTCTCTCTCTCTCTCTCTCTCTCTCTCTCTCTCTCTCTCTCTCTCTCTCTCTCTCTCTCTCTCTCTCTCTCTCTCTCTCTCTCTCTCTCTCTCTCGCTCTCTCTCTCTCTCTCTCTCTCTCTCTCTCTCTCTCTCTCTCTCTCTTTTCTTCTTTCTTTCCTTCTTTCTTTCTTTCTTCTTTGATTAGAATCCACACGGGACGATCAATCCAGCGGAGGGTTGGTGAATGCGTTTGCAGATCGATTGTGTGCCATCACACAGGGCTACTTTCTGATTTGCTGTGCAAAGGAGAGGATTGGGTATGTGTTGTTTGACACTACTCTTTTCTTCAAGCATGTACATAATAGCTTTGCCTACACAATCTCCAGGACAGCTAGCTGTTACGACCTTGTTACGTCTCTTCAGGGAGCTCAGAGCGACCGGCCGAACCGATCGTTCTGCAGTCTACTGAACAACAAAGCATAGCATTGTCTACGTATACGAGTACAAAACTGCATAGCACTGCATAGCACTGCATAGCATGGTGAACATGTTGCTGCTGGTGTACGTGTCCGTGCATTGAACGCTGTTCTAAGAAATTGCCTCAGTGATGTGATCTCTATGCATGTGGAAGCATTGTGCCCGTCACAGTTATGAATATTGTACTCTTCAGTTTATGAATACTGGTAATTACATTGTGTATTGTCTTTGTGTGCACATTCATCACATGTATTTCCAGGCCAGGTGGTGGTGTTCCAGCAACGTTTCTCAAGTTTCTGGAAGAGCATGAAATAGTCATGCAGGTGTTGCTGTTAAGGTGAGGGCTACACCGCCAGCCTGCTTGATATTGTGGCTAGCCGCTTTGTTCACATCCGATCGACCCCGCCTGCCTTTGTGGCTGTAGTCTCTCTCTCTCTCTCTCTCTCTCTCTCTCTCTCTCTCTCTCTCTCTCTCTCTCTCTCTCTCTCTCTCTCTCTCTCTCTCTCTCTCTCTCTCCCTCTCTCCTTTTCTGGCTTTCTGCCTTTCTCTTAGGGATAATATTAATTGCTTCCCTTATCATGTTATTACTTCCAAGTCCCAGTACATACATGTATCGTGCAGTTGCATCTGAGGGTATCAATGGATGGACATTGGTTGATCGTTGTTTTTTTGTTCTGTCTGTGCTCGTGTAGGAACCCAAAGCTGGTCTTTGCACACTTCGATTTCCTCCTGGAGAGTCCTGACCTTCTCAAAAACTTCATTCACATCATTCATGCACAGGTAGGTAAAGTGTCGTGATTGTAGCCACTGATTGTAGTGCAGCTTCTGTGTGTGTGTCTATGTGTGTGTCCATGTGCGTGTGTGTGTGTCCGTGTATGTCCGTGTGTGTCTCTTGATGTGATCACAACAGTATGAGAATAGATTGCCTGGGTGCTTTTCAGTTCAAGTGCAATCTCGGAGTGTCAGTGCTTTGTCTTGGTCCCTTGTCAATATTATCGGCACTAGAAATTCTTAGAAACGATGAATTCAAAGTTTCAAGGTGTTCTCTTTGCTCATGTCTCTTTTTCACTGTGCAATTTTCACATGCTTTCTCTTGATTAGAAATTTGAAGATCGTCGCAAGTGGTTCTACGAGAACCTGTATAGAACGCAAGCGCCTGCCAATGATGTCATGCATGTAGACAATGTCATCAAAGTCTCGCGCAATGGCATATTCCAGAGCTCGTGCCAAGTGCTCATGAACATGGACACGGAGAAGCTCAAGCAGAACTTTGCTGTCAACTTCGATGGAGAGGAGGGGATGGTAAGAAAGCAGCACGCGCTCTTAAAGATTCAGAGTCCTTTGTGGAGCTGTCCTGTCTGATTGGTTTCATTGTACGTTTACAAGCATCTACATTACTGTGTTGCTATGGGAGTCTGCAGTACAGCTGGGTAGCATGTCACCGCCACCTTGTCTTATTGCTGTTGAAGTTGTCCTCTTCGTCTTCGTCAAGACAAGTAGTGTCATGAGAATTTAGAGTTTACATGTAATTTATTTCATAAGTTTTGTGTGTTTTGTGCATAGGGTGCTGGTGTCAGGCGGGAATTCTTTGACAAGATCTCAGCTGAGATGCTCAACCCGGACTGCGCTCTGTTCACGCAGTCTGCAGATGGTATGTCCGACTTGTGTGCTCCGTTCTTACTGCATGTACATATCCACTACATTGTACTTCCTGCTTTACTCCATTTAGAATTTACAAGTAGTAACAATCCTTTTTGTTAGTAGCAATGGTGAGGCTTCCTGCAGCTTCATTCATAGGAAAAAAAGGTTTCAGAGCAGACTCGAATTGCATACCTGATGAGGGCAATTTTGCCGAAACGTAAAAAAAATTGATTGAGAAATGAGTTCGAGTTTTGCAGAGTGAATGGGAAGAGAGCGAGTCTGCTCTGAAACTTTTTTTCCTAATCCTTTTTATTGTTGATGGAATTCAGTTTTCCTGTTGGCACGGCAATGAATCAGGGGAATCTGTGAGTTTCAGGCATAGAGTTGTACCTGCTTTGGGTGCATTCCCTGGCTTCAGCATGGTTACACTTGCTCTGCGTGCTAGTATTCCCGGTGGTGGTAGTGGTTCAGCATTGAGTACGGAACGTGCTGGCCGCTCACTTTGAGCTGTACACACATGTCATATGCTTGATTAGAGTTTAGTAGTGAGTGACCCCCAGTGTATCCCAGTGGACCCTCTGTCACACTGCTAGTGATCTTACATACTCTTGTAACTTCACAAGGAGCACAAGAATAGAAGTTGCGGTCCTTGCCACTTCTGTTTTTTTTTCTCTGCCGTTGAATTGCTGCGTGCATTCATTCTTGCGTTCCTGGCTGCCCCCCGCTTGCTCAGGCTCAACGTTCCAGCCGAACCCCAACTCTCAAATCAACCCCGACCATCTCAGCTACTTCAACTTTGCCGGACGTGTCATTGGTGCTGCAATCTACCACCAGCAACTGCTCAACGTCTACTTTACACGCTCCTTCTACAAGCATATCCTAGGTAGGGAGTAGGACTACGCTCACACTCTAGAGTCATAGCTCGTTTATGCGGGTGGTCCGGGACCGGGCACTGCCCGTAACTTTGAAATGTCCCTAACTCCGAATCACATACATTTCGATGGGGACTGGCCAAAGATGTGGCATATGATGTTAATATTTCCACATAAAGTGACAAAAGAGTAGTAATATTTCCGCTGAAACTCGCCCAAAGTGTGCTCGGTAGACCGAAGTGCCGGTAACCCTGGGGGGTCCGGATGACCAAGGTATGAGTGTATACTTATTGTTTGAGCAAGCATTGCTATCCTCTTGAGCAAGCATTGCTATCCTCTTCCTCAAGAATAAGTATGGCATTCTTCTTATCTGGCTTGTTGATTCTTTGCGCAAGCACAATGCGGCCTTTGGCTGCGGCATGTTGAGTGGTGAGTGCTACGATATCTGATCAATCCACACCTGGTGTAAACGATTCGGGTGTGCTTGGACTGGCTGCTACACATACAGCTCATGTGTGTATGCGTTGACTGTGGCAGGATAGTTATTATACACTACACCAGTGTGTGTATATCCTGTTCTGTGTGTAATGTGTGGGTATGTGTATGTGTGCGTGCGGGTGGTTCTACGTTTTTTCTGTTGTCATGCCAGGTGTCTCAGTAAACTACAGCGACGTAGCATCGATTGACCCTGAGTATGCTCGCAATCTGCAGGTATGATAGCCAGTGGAGTGGAGTCACTATGCCAACGCGCCAGCAACTCAATTGAAATAGTTTAGTCAGAGTATGCATGTGCAAGAAGTGCAGTTGATAGTATGTGTGGTTAAGCTGGAAGGTATCAGATTGAACAATGACTCTGGTTGAGTCAAGATGTGTTTGTTGTGCTGGAATGGAGTACTTATGGCCAATCATAAGTTGTTGTCATAGCCGTGGCAATGTTTTCTTCTGTTTTCCTCACTGTGTGTAAGTTGTGTGTATGTATGGCTGCACTACATGTCTGTGTGTGTCTATGCACAGTGGATACTCGACAACGATATCTCCGATCTGGGTTTGGAGCTCACATTCTCGCTTGAAACCGATGTCTTCGGATCAATGCAGGTCGTGGAATTGAAGCCTGGTGGAGCATGCCTTCCCGTGCTGGAAGAAAACAAGGTGAGTGTTGACATGTGCTTGTTCTGTTTAATGCTAGAGCCTGGAGGCAGCAGAATATCAGTGGATTTTTGTAGACAGATGGCGCTTTTTCAGAACGGTTTGACAGCAAAGTTTTTTTTTCATCCCATAGCAATAATCTGAGTGGATGGTTCGTTCTAAATACATTTTGCAGATTGCCGGAAGGAAGCTGATCTGCCGAAGTTTGTTCTGAGGCCAGAGTCAATTAAACTGAGCCACTCTTTTCTGTTGGTCCGTCCAAATATTGGTGTCACAGAGGCTGCTCCAAAACGATGAGACATGATACGTGTACTTCCATTAGGTTTCATTGGTGAAAGGTGACTTATCGGCAAAGGGTGAGTTGCTCTTCACCTGCTACGAGAAGAAGCAGCTGCGTTACAAAAGAGCCGCAGATTGGTGGTGGAGATACTTGGGCGATCTCCACCTTTGTGCAAAGATTAGTATTTCCTCATGTCTGTTCTGTTCGCGTGGCTGGTATTTCCACTTTTGGGCTAGTCGTTTGGTGAGTAGAGGTGTGTTTGATGCTGCGTTCGCTCGAGCTCGGTTAACCAAAGTTGATTTGCATGAGGCATGGAACTCGAGTACTTATGTGTGACGCAATACCTCGAAACTCACTTGCCTGGATTGGCGCTGCTGGTCATTGCAGTCCCATGGGTATTGTGAACATTTGCTGCGCAATGAAACATACCGTGGTCTCACTGTGACAATGTCTTCTAATCAAGACAGAAAGTGATCTGGTTTCTACATTGCGGGTCCATTCCGATAAGGTGCTACCCCGTCTCTCCGTCTACGTGTAGTGTGAGATCGCAATCATGAATGCTCTTGGGCCAATGTGACAGGCGGGAAACTGTGCATGCAAAATAGAACGTGGAGCTAATCCTTTGTCTGCCATTTTTGTCTTTTTGTCAGCACGTCATTGAACCTGTATCACAGAGCGGCACATTACAAGATGACATGTCCGTTTGTCTTGCCGGTACCGTTTCTGGTCTTGCGTGTGCACTTGTGTGTTCCCCCTGTGCCTCCAGCATGAATATGTGCAGCTTGTCACAGAGAAACGTTTGACCAGTGGAATCCTGGACCAGATCACGGCCTTTCTTGATGGGTTTACTAAGCTCATTCCACAGCGGTTGGTGGCTCTGTTCGATGAGTTTGAGCTGGTGAGTGTATTTCTAACTTAGTCGGTTTACTGTACATCTGTAGGGAGTAGTTTTCCAGTCCCCAACTGCATTTTGTTTGCCAATGTGTTTTTGTAGTATTAGCTCAAAGTATCAAATTTCTTATCTAATGCGTCATGCTGTGCAATAGGGCTTGAAAGTGCTACGTCACAGCATAGCACCAATTTCAAAAATTCAAAAATTGGATCCACATGGGTCCAGTGTTTGTATGGATCCAAGCACATTTCAAGCGGTCTTACTCACAACAAGGTGGTTTAGCCGGTGAAATTGACTGATTCGGCTAATGAGGGTGGGGTGACACCTGGTGGCGAAGTGAAAGTCACACCTGCATACGACATGAGTGGGCTAACTTACTATGCACCCACACACTGAGTCAATAGCAAAGTCACACCTTAGTGTATCCAAAAGTAGAAATCTGATGTGAACTTACTCCTCCCTGGCCATTTTGACGTCATCACTTTCAAGCCCTAGTATTATGTGTGCGAGCGTACATTGTATGTGCGCGCGCGCGTGTGTGTGTGTGTGTGTGTTTGTGTGTGTGCGGGCGTGTGTATATGTGTGTGTGTGTGTATGTGCGTGTGCATGTGTGTGTGTATGCATGGTATGGGTGTGTATGACGTCACGATTGATGTGTGTGTGTGTGCTTGCAGGAGTTACTGATGTCTGGCTTACCAGATATTGATGTGCGGGACTGGCAGAATCACACACTCTACACTGGTGGATATGATGAGAACTCAGAGATAATCAAGGTACAGACAACTTCCTATCCACACTTGATTTGCAGCTTTGGTTGGGTCCACGGGTCTGGGTCTCCGCTGTCCAGGTGTGGACAGAGGGGTAGTTGTGCCCGTACGCCGGTCTCCGTTGGTGTGGACGGAGGGGTACTACTCATACCCATACTCTACATCCTTTTCATGAATTAAAGTCGTAGGGTTAGTTTTTACTTCCAGTTTATGTGTGTCTCTCAATCATGACCATGGCATGAGATACTGCATGCCTTGGGGGACTGGTCATCTTGCGCATCAGACCTCTTTCAAGTTCGACTGTTCAGCCCTACGTGAAGTACATCTGAACCTCTGCGTACAAGTAGAGACAGTCCACCGGCCTCAAAACTTGTCTCTCTCTCTGTCTCTGTCTCTCTCTCTCTACCGTATACTGGCCACGAAGCAACACGCCACCGGTATACGACAACACAGTATTATGTGCCAGCGTGATAGCATGGTGTGTGTGTGTGTATGGGCGTGCGTGCCTTTGCTTTGCCTGCGTTGCAGTGGTTCTGGGAGATTGTTCATTCGTTTGATCGCAAGGAATGTATTCTACTGCTGCAGTTCTCCACAGGAAGGTGAGTCTTTCAGTGACAGCAGGCCTGCCTCTCTTGTTATCTCTTGCTAGTCTCTGTTGCCCATGATTACTGTAGAGTGGTTTCACGTGGCTGTCACATGATCATACGGGACAGCCATGCTGGTTCTAATCCAGTCAATCCCGACACCAATGGATGGCTTACGTGATGTCAGATATGTGTGTGCATACGAGTAATGTACGGATCTACCTCTACTACTCGTATACACCTTGTGCCTGTTCTAGCTGTTTCCACTGAAACACGTGTTTTCCTATGATTGCCACGGATTCATCTTTGGCATGCATTCTTTTGTTTTTCTTTTGCTTGGCGCTCACAGCTCTCGTGTGCCCCATGGTGGCTTTGCTAATCTATCCGGGTCACATGATACGCAAAACTTCTGCATAGCCAGGGTTGATCTTTCAAGTAACCCAAACAGTCTCCCGACAGCTTCCACATGGTGAGTTTCTTGGTTGATTGACTTTTCTAAAACTTGTTCTGTGTCATGTCCATGGCTGAATCCGGCACTTCTGCTTCTAGTCAAGCTAAGTAGTGTGTGTGTGTGTGTGTGTGTGTGTGTGTGTGTGTGTGTGTGTGTGTGTGTGTGTGTGTGTGTGTACTTTCCAGGGTCAGAACTCCCCTGCCCCTCTCTCTTGTAGGCAAAATGTCCCTTTCAGGCTTTGTATTTGTTTGCATGAAAACGAATATTCAGGGATCCTGTGTATGATCACACTGTACTGCCCCGGGGCAGGTCGGCTGTGTTTTGCTCAATGCCAGCAATGGTGGCAAACCAGCTTTTCCCAAGCAAGTTTGTGGTAGACTTCTGGTCATGCCTTCTGCCTCGTATGCTTTTCATACTGAAGTACAGTGCTACTCAAAGTACCGTAGTTTCCCAAATATAAGTCACACCTTTTTACACTAAACTTCAGAGCCAACAAAGGGACTTACAGCTTACAATCAACTTACAATCGAGCATTATATACTACTGAAGTGAATGCGTTGAAACGATAACGTTATGACATGACCTGAAATTAGGGGTGCGACTTACAATCGAGTGCGACTTACGATCGGGAAATACGGTAGTCCGATCGTGTGAGTCAAGTTTGCGCCTTGCACCATTTCGCAGCCCAGTGTCGCAGGTCTAGCGGCTGCGCAACACCCGGCGTGTACTTGAGTCACTCGATCGGTTTTCAATGAGCAGTATGGTGATAAAAAAACCTATCGAGGAGGGCTGGGGGTGAAACCTGCCCGTTGAGGAAGACACTGAAGCATTGTATGGGCAGTTTGTGAGTGCGTATTGTATGGGCAGTTTGTGAGTGCGTATTGTATGGGCAGTTTGTGAGTGCGTATTTTCTAGTCAAGTAGAGAGAGTTACACTACTCTAAACAAGTCAAGTCTGTGCAGTGAACAACTGTCCGTCTAACTGAGCTTGGGCTGGCTTGCTGTCCTGTGTGCCATGAATGGATTTTCTCTATTGTCAGCTTCAACATGCTGAAGCTGCCCGAGTACGCAAGCAAGGAGATCCTGTATGACCGTGTATCCGTAGCGTTGCACTACGGCAGTCAAGGATTCGACTTTGCATGAGATTAGGAGGAGATGGAGGGATGAAGAAATCACCCACCAACCAATACACATATCGCCAACAACCAGTACGCATATCATAATATTACGAAAAAAACATCCAAATTTATTATCCTAAACGCAGACACTTGAATCTCCAAAATTAAACATGCCTTGGATTTTTTAGGTTTTACAATATTCCACAAAATTTATAATTTGCAACAGCTCTCGAATTCATCTTGACACAAAACGCACAGCTTTAGTTTATGAAACACATCATCGGACTGAAATATTCTAACACATTGGACTGAAATATTCTACCTTTTTAACCTAGCTTCATTTCCAAGGTATTCTTGTTTCTAGCCTCGTTTCTCGTTCCTGTACTCTCTTTGTTTTTAGTTGTGGGTTGTCAATAGCACTGAGTTGTCTCACTAGTTTAGTTTTTTTTGTTTGGCCAAGTCTTATTATAAGTCATGCTATCAGAGTTACCATGAACTCTGCATCATGTATGCTGAGTCATGCTATCAGAGTTACCATGAACTCTGCATCATGTATGCTGAGTATCAGAGTTATCATGAACTCAGTGTTACATGTGCATGTTTGCTGTACTTAGTGTGGTGCTTGGCAAAGCAGTGCGACTCCACGCATCGTCCACACTCCTGCCTGGTCTGCCTGGGGGCTGCCACTCGGCAGCGGCACCTCACAGATGAAGTTGCCTTCCATGGTGGTCGATGCTGCACTGTCGCTGTGCGGTGTGGAGCTGTTCATCGCACAGTTGTACAGTGGGCATGTGTACAGGACATGTGCTGCTTCAGTCATTACCGCTGCTTCTGTGGCTGGTTCTTCTAATGGTTCTTCTGGGATGGTTTTTTCTAAAGTTGCACCACCGCCCTGCCCATCCTCTCGACCAGCAGTTGGGAGTGGCATGCCAGAGAAGGACGCCGAGCGCCCGCTGTTAGGACGCCGTACCCGTATGGTCCCTGGTGGTGGTGGATGCGGTGGAGGGGGTGGCTGCCTGTCGAGTGCCGACAGCTGCTGTGCGGCGGCAAAACGCCTGCCAGGAGTTGCTCCTCGTGTCGGTGGCCGCTCCTTTCCCGTGGCACTGCTGCTGCTGCTGCTGCTGCTTGCCGGGTCTTCAATACACAACTCTACGATGCCCAGCTCCTGGTTGCGCTCCCCAATGTCCAGCTCTTGTAGGCATTCCCTGCCTGGGTCCCAGCCGGCACCGCACAATACCATGCCTTTGATCTGGATCTTTTCTGCCTTTGGATCAGTTCTCTGTTGACACAATCACGCATGCACGCACATACGCACACATACTAGTTCGTACTTCCAAGTTTGAGAAATTGAGATTTTAGACGCAAGGCCAGCACCCCGTGACCACTTGACTTCTCAAAGGATTGCAATGTCCACAACAGTAGTAGTCAGATTTCGAATGTGATATTTTGCCTGACCAGCCTGCCTAGACGTTTTGATTAGGCCACACCGGGTTTTTTTTTCTTCTATGTCTCGCGTCACCTTACCCGATGAAATCAATGAGCGAGGGCGAAAAAAATTAAAAACAAGCCATCCGAAAACATTGTACATACCGGTACATGTACGCCTCGCATACTGTAGTTGTGTACAGCCTGAGTCAAGCTAAAGACTCGGCACTGTTCATGTATATTATTAAATTTTTGAATTCACCCATGCATACATGAACATGCATGCCATACATGAGTGTATCCATTTCAATACAATGAATGTCACAAAGTCTATTGCACATGCAGTCTCCACTGAGTGGTACCTACTGGCCAAACTGTGTCCATATCAGCTGGATGGGAACGTTTCTCGCCACGCCTCTGCTCGCCCCTGTGACTGTGTGTGTGCGCACACTATGCTTGTGGTCCGAAAATGGGCAGTAATTGCGTGACTTGCGGCCCACACACAGTACAGGTACATGTATGTGAGCTGAGTCGAGTACATCATTTTTTTTAACTCCGGCTGTGAAATATACGCGTGCGGTGGACGCGGAACATAGAAAAAACCCCGTGTGGCCTTACACTGATCTCAAAATCTCATTTTCTCAAATTTGGCTCTTAGAGAGTTTTGCATCTAAACTCTTCATGCACCCATTCCTATACGTACAGTGCAGGCAACTGAAATCCGACCCCCCCCCCCACCCCCCCGGGCGGGGCGGCGCCCCGGCGTCCCGGGGGTCAGATTTCAGTTGCCAGCACTGTACAACCCACCCACTTTGATGTCCAGGGTCAATGCATGCTTTTCAATGGCAGTCAACAATGCCTGCACTGCACAGGTAGTCCAGAAACTTGCATGCATCCACTCTTCTTTCTGTAAGGAAATAAACTAAAAGAAGTATTACCAGATGTGTTCCTGCTGCTGACTTCTGCTGAGCCTTGCCAAGGTCTACGGGGACCGACTGGCCCTTGCGTTCTGAGAATTGATTTCTTTTCAACTGCGGAGTGATGATGCCCTTGATTGTCCACTTCATCTGCAACTTCTCCATGGGTGTACCCGATCGGTTTGCATACTCCATGAGGAGAGTTGTCAGGAAAGCTGCAAGCACACGGACAAGCAAGGGTAAGTGTGCTCTGAACCACATCAGGGTTACAAAGCAAGGGTAAGTGTGCTCTGAACCACATCAGGGTTACTGGCAAGTACACATAATGTTACTACAGTCCATTTCAAAACTATAGACGCGTACCTAGGCAAAAACCGTTATGCCAGCATCTATACCACATAAAATCTGTGATCACTTTGTGCATAAATTTTTCCAAATTGGGCGTCTGTTATCCAATCGTTTAGAAACTATATGAGTAATTGTGGAGCGGTCCTGAGCAATATTCCGAAAACTATTCTCAAAAAGGTCCAGCCAAATTTGAAATATTTCAAAAACCCTACGCGTCTATAGTTTTGAAATGGACTGTAATACTCAATCTGCGGACAGAACAGTTTTTCCACAAAGTTTCGTCCTTTGTGGACTCATCAGCGCAGTACAGAGAAAATGAGGTCGAACCTGATAGCAATGAAAAATAAATTTCCAAAGCCAGATTTAAACCAGACCCGAACACACCTGGCCAGAGTGCTCAAACTGACAAGTCAGCGAGCTCTGCATAACGTTACTAATAGGTGTGTATCCATACGGACAAGCAAGTGACTATGCGCATGAACAGTCCATGCTGAAATTGCAGTGTAGACATACAACTTTAAAAGTGACGAAAGGCTGCCACTCAAGTCACTAGTATATACATTGTATGCCCATCGGCCAGTAACGTTACCTTTGGGTTTGAACATTCCACCGAGCCAGTAGATAAAGCTAAGCTGCTGGATGAGAGCGCTGGCCTTGGGGCCACCGCGCGGGTTGCGGGAGAAAACACTCGGTTGCTGTTGATGCTGCTGTTGTGATCGTACAATCAGCGCAAAGTGACCTACACAGTTTCGCATGTAGGTCATTCGCTTGCTCAGATTGCTGAGCCATGCTCCCAGCAGCAGTGATGTAGGGTACGATGCCATCTGAACACACACACACACACACGCACAATGCATTGGACAAACAAGTGCAACAAACAAACCAAAACGAATTGCGACATCAGCGTGTATCAGCACGGCCCACCCTAGATCAGACCCATTATCACAAACTCAATGCAGCGCATGTGGATGTTGATAATTGTCAGGTACGTGTACAGTATAGCACAAACCTTCCAACAGTCGGGTACTCTGGCTGAAAGCAAGTCCCTAGCAAGGATGTCCAGGTACGCACTGGACGGGTTGCTGGCCTGCAGTGTGGCTTGTAGTGACTGCACGTCACGTGTGATCAACGCCAGTAAGTCATTGTACTGCTGACACTCAGAGCGCAGGAAACGCTCCAGGATACCAACAGTGTCTTCCGACTGCAAAAGAGAACAGAAATCCGCATGCACACACACACACACACACACACACACACACGCGCGCGCGCGCGCGCACACACACACACACACACACACACACACACACATACACATGTGAGTAATGATGACAAAGGTGGTGGCGCTGATGCATAGAGATGACCAACCTCTCCGATTACCACACATGCGTCAGCTTAGAAACACCATCAACAATGCCCACGACAGGCACACTGATACCAACACGTCCCAGAATAGATGCCGCCACCAGATACATACCTTTGGTGCTTGCAGGTGGAGTGGTAGTGGAATGGCATCGGTTATGATGGATAACATCTTGACTAGGTATCTCTCGGTGTCTTCCGCTGATGCTCTGTGTGGCAGTAAGAAGATGAAGAAGACTGTTAGTGGATGTTAGTAGTATCACTTATCAAGTTCACTCAATTTGGCCAGGACAGAGTGATTGTTTGTCCAGTGATTGGATTGGACAAGACTGGCGTATGTGCATGAAGAATTGATATCCCTTTTCATGTGTACATTACGGTACATGTTGTCATCTAGCCAGTGTACACAACCACACAGTGCTGTCTGGACAGAATTTCAAGTTGACATCATTTTACGATCCAACGCTCCAGTGTTCATACAGAGGTGTCAGTGCATCATGCATGTCTGCTCACATATACCAGGTTTGCGTTTTGTACAAGATCAGATCGCACAGCGCCCGTCACTGGTCCTTGAGATGTGTGAAACACTCATGAACACCACTCATTGCATCATAAAAATGTTGCCTGTTGCCTGTATATGGGACCTCTCTTTGCTACCAGCCAGGGGCACAAGCCCTCAGCACTGTGCAGCAACGTGCAGGGTAAGTTCCTACCTGAGTGTAGCCGACATGATGAACTCCGGTTGCAGCTTCTTCAGATCCTCAACAAAGACGGCACAGTGCTTCTCGGCCATCAGGGCCGGCGCGTACGTCGGCAGGCCCATCAGAGCTGCGATGTCTGCGTCACCCAGCGGCCTCACCAGGTCTCTACAACTTTGCAGAGTGGCATCAGCATCCATGTGCAGTGAAATCTAAGCAGCAAGAGAAACACTATTTACCGTTGGGTCTCATGGACTACATTTACCACTCGCCTTTCTGTACATTTACCACTCGCCTTTCTGTAAATTTACCACTCGCCTTTCTGTAAATTTACCACTCGCCTTTCTGTAAATTTACCACTCGCCTTTCTCCCCAACTACTAGTAGTTAGACAGACCAGCTGATGCCTTCAGTAGACCACAGGCATGATAATAAACTGTAATGACTTTCTGTTGCAACACAGTCATCAGCACACAGTCATCAGCACACAGTCATCAGCACACAGTCATCAGCACACAGTCATCAGCACACAGTCATCAGCACACAGTCATCAGCACACAGTCATCAGCACACAGTCATCAGCACACAGTCATCAGCACACAGTCATCAGCACACAGTCATCAGCACACAGTCATCAGCACACAGTCATCAGCACACAGTCATCAGCACACAGTCATCAGCACACAGTCATCAGCACACAGTCATCAGCACACAGTCATCAGCACACAGTCATCAGCACACAGTCATCAGCACACAGTCATCAGCACACAGTCATCAGCACACAGTCATCAGCACACAGTCATCAGCACACAGTCATCAGCACACAGTCATCAGCACACAGTCATCAGCACACAGTCATCAGCACACAGTCATCAGCACACAGTCATCAGCACACAGTCATCAGCACACAGTCATCAGCACACAGTCATCAGCACACAGTCATCAGCACACAGTCATCAGCACACAGTCATCAGCACACAGTCATCAGCACACAGTCATCAGCACACAGTCATCAGCACACAGTCATCAGCACACAGTCATCAGCACACAGTCATCAGCACACAGTCATCAGCACACAGTCATCAGCACACAGTCATCAGCACACAGTCATCAGCACACAGTCATCAGCACACAGTCATCAGCACACAGTCATCAGCACACAGTCATCAGCACACAGTCATCAGCACACAGTCATCAGCACACAGTCATCAGCACACAGTCATCAGCCCACTCAGACAAAAACCAACAGGATGTCAAGCTAACACAAAGAACCATGAAATTAAAAAAAAGTGAACAGCAAGTTATAAACTACAACAGAGCCGGAAGAGGGCGAGGCTCATCCTCTGGTGCACTGAAGGAACCTGGTGGCTACTTCATCACTAGACTGGCCGCAGCACACACTGCAGGCCAGTACACTGGCCGCTTAGTACTTACCCCCGCAACCTTCCAGTCTGGTTCAAACACCGCTGCGGATAGGAAGCGCCGCAGTGTGGCCTGCACGGTCACATGATCCCGCGGATCGGTGATGCGGCCACCGTAGAGTACAGCACCAATGAGGTGCTCAAACGTTCTCCACGGCACCTGCTTGTGCGCGTGACACACAAGCAACAGTGTTTTACACGAGGACTGCAGTGAATACAGGAGAAAATCAGAGAGCAAGAATCAGTGCTTGTTCTTTCCGTCAACAGTCAGAATTTGACTTGCATGCATGAAAAACCAGAAGGAGCCATCATGCCTCCAAGCGATATTGGGTACTGACTCGTTGTGCCACCTACATGTGCATTTTCTATGCCGTGATGGCTCACACTCAGTTACTGATGTTCACTTACTCACATCTACTGGATTGCACAATAAGAACATTCTAGTCAAACTGCATGTGACATCGTAAAAGCATCAGTAATATGCAGTAGTGCCACCTTCTTTGCCGCAGGGCTTACCGCATAGTCAGCGTTCGTGAACTGGTACACCTCGTTCAACGCCATCTGCTGATAGCCAGAGTTGTGCTCGAGCAGCAGAGAGTGCATCAAGCACATGTTGAACATGAGCTGTTTCCACTGCTGTTTCCATTGTTGCCGGTCTTCATCCTCCTCGTCCTTGCCGATCTCCTCAAACTTCTCGTTGCTCAGGTACATGCCCCGGCCACCATCCAGCAGGCGCTGTACATTCTCGCAGAACCCAGATCTGCTCTTCATAGTGTACTGGATGGCGGGACAAGAAAAGACTTTGAAAGTTGGAGCTCGCCTGGCAACCCGATGCCAGTGATCATCATTATCGACGAGGACACGAAGGAATCAAAAACATGCTATGAATAGAATGTGTTGCGTCGTCATTACTGGTACATGCACAACATTGCAAGGCAAGCTTGGCTGTCTTTATACAAGTCGTTATCGTATATCTGAATTCGCAAACCAAACAGACAGAAATTTATATCCAAGAATGTTTACTCGTGAGGGTCATCAGCTAGAGTTACAGTACTGCAAAGTAAATAACTTTTTATGTTACATATCCTGCTATGGGTGAGCATATCCTGCTATGGGTGAGTCGTGACTGCTATGTAGTATGTACCCACGACATGCACATGCACATGCATGTCCTGCAGCATTACCTTAGCACAGTTCTGTAGTATTGTTGGCGGCATAGTCGACTCCACTGCTTCCACGGTCAGCCACAAGCGAAAGTTCGGGTGTAGGTTCTCGTTGTTCACAACGTCCCTGTAGTGAAAGCAACATTGGCCGCCACGTACACAGCGACTCACGGTTCAGCTTGAGCATGCCTGTACTTGCCGGCTCATAGTGTGCGAAATCCATGTCTATACTTTAAGACCAGTAATGTTAACGAACATTAAAGTTCTAACGAGTTTAAGAATTTGAAAGAATCGTTAACATTTGAAGTCGTTATGTGCAAAACGATATGTACATGTACAGTCATTTGGCGGTTTTGAGACAGAATTCGTTAGAATTTCACCTCGCTAACTAGTGCTGAAACGATTATACCGATTACTCGTTACTTTAATACTCGATAAGAAAAATATCGAGCGGTTATTTCGATTTTATCGGCTAAACGAGTAGAATGGTACATGCTCCCTGTACAAGATTTTCCCCTTTTGAATGGTTCGCGCTAGGCGTGCATGTGTCGAAAGTGTTGAAAGTAGACACATGCACGTACTTGCAGCATCGATGTACAAGCGTGTGGTCTGAGAAACGTATGAAAGCCGCGGCCTTCAACTGCTTTCGTCAGTTTTGATACATGCGGTAGGGTATGCTCAGTTCGAATCCTGTGTCAAACTGTGTCACTTATAGTAGCACCGGTACCAGTAGTACTAGTACTAGTAGCTGCGGGCTGGTGTTGACTCGCTGTGAGTAGTCATGAGGAAGTGGTCTTCAGTTTCAAGTGTTTTCCGTTCTGTCAATCGATCATGGCTTCCAGGAGCACTTTTTCTCGTAGACCTACATGTAGATCTGGCGTCTGGGATTACTTTGAGCACGGGAAAGATAAGCATTCGTGTAAACTGTGCACAAAGACATACTCGAGGCAGAGCGGAACGAGTAACTTGTTGGCGCACCTAAAGTCAGCGCATCCGTCGAAATTCGGCGAGCTGCATCCCGCGCCCGCTTCTCCTATCTCATCGTCGGAGGCAGCTCAGTCGCAGGCAAAGGGCACCCTCAGCTCTTGGGTTGCAACAAACGCATCGCCTCAGTCTCGTCCGTGTTCATCTGGTCGGTCCGAACAGCTGACGGACTTGTTGCTGGACTGGATCGTCGATTCCGTACGCCCGCTTTCCGTCGTCGGTGATGTCGGACTGGTAGAAATTTTGAAGTTCACCGAACCTTGTTACAAGGTACCGTCACGGACGCACGTTACCACGTTATTGAAGAAAAGACACGAAACGGGTGTCCGAGATCTGATAATGCTGCTGGAAAAAGAAGGAAACTGCGGAGTTGCACTCACAACGGACGGGTGAACTAGTGTTGCTACCCACAGCTATGTTACGTACACTGTCCATTTTATTGACGTCGAGTGGAATCTGCGTGGTGCTGTTCTGCAGACCGACCAGTTTCACGGCTCTCACACTGCAGCTAATCTGGCGGAGCACCTCAAGTGTGTGCTGCAACGCTTCAATGTGGATCCTGACTTGGTCAGCTGTGTCACCCATGATGAAGCTCCCAACATGGTAGCTGCCACTAGACTGCTACATGAGGATGTTGGCATCATGGGACACGTGTGCATGGCGCACAGACTGCAAACGGCCATCCGCCATGCTATAGCTAAGACGAATGGCATGGAGCGTCTTTTGGCTGCAGGGCGGAAACTGGTTGGCCATTTCAAGCAGTCTGCAGTGTCGGCTGAGAACCTGCGGGAGAAGCAGTTGCAGCTGAATTCCGACAAACCACCTCTGGTTGTTCTCCAGGATGTAGCCGCTCGCTGGAACTCGTCATTTTTCATGCTGCGGCGACTTGTGGAGCTGCGCACTGCACTGGCTGTGGTTCTCTCCGACAGCGCAGTCACGCCGAAGAAAGAACACCGCGATCTTCTTCTGAAAGACCAGCAATGGGCACTGGCAGTGCAACTCGCTAGCATCCTGAAGCCGTTTGAGCTCGCCACCACCATTGCCAGCGGACAGAAGTACGTGACACTTTCCCTGGAACTTCCCGTGATCCACCAGCTGATGGCTGGAGCGAAGTATACTACGACTTCTGCTGATTCTGGTATGGCGCGCACATTCTCAGCAGCGTTGCGCGACAGCTTGACCAACAAGTTCTCTATGAACAATCTGAACATGTCATCACCTGCAGTTATGGCCTCTGCACTGGACCCGCGTTTCCGCAACTTGTCCTTTCTTGACGAGTCACAGCGAGAAGAAGTGCGGGACCTTGTCCTTGACGCCGCTGTAGAAGTCAGAGAGGGCAGGCATTCCCCATGCGTAGTTGAAGTCGAGCCTTTTGCCAAGCGATCTCCGGCTATCAGTAGCTTGGCATTGCTCATGTCTGCACGGCCAGGGCAAGAAGAAGCTCGATCTGAGTCACCTGGTACCAGCTGCGCCACAGAGAACATAGAGAAGCAGAAGTCCGTCTTCTTCACTGAGGAGGCAGTGGACTTTGAAAGCGACCCTCTCCGATGGTGGCAAGTAAACGCAACACGCTTCCCTGATCTTGTTCCTCTTGCTAGGAAATTCTTGTCCGTGCCTGGGTCCTCAGTCCCATCGTAAGTGGTGTTTTCTGCTGCGGGTGCACTACTCACAAAGCGACGGAACGCCATCGCTGCCTGCTGTGTGAAGCCTTCTCTCAGTACCTGCAGAGATTCAAGCAATCCACACTGCAATCGTGCACACTGCACCATTACATGTACTTGTATGAAGAATGAACTCATGTGTTGACAGACAAACCAGAATAGTTTTAGTCTTACGAGATCTCGCTTACCTGATCTGCTGCTATGCTCAGGCGCTTCACAGACATTTTATGCTATCAATCCTCAATCTGCTATTAATCCTGTACATAGATACTAGATAGTTACTGCAGCCGGTTTGTCCAGTTCCATGTACATATACCATGTACATATACTGCTGTTGGAAGGTTATTTTTGAACGATTGCTTTTAAAGAAACTTGTTGAACAAAATTTCACGGTTCGCGTGAGACTCGGCTGGAAGCCCAGTTTTCCGCATCCGTCATGGGAACGCCACCACAAGCAAGGGTTCAATTCAAAGAAAAAAATAATCGTTTAGCCGATAAGCCGATCGTTATGGTATCAGCTGAGCCACCAAGGAAAAAATGTAATCGTTTCAGCACTATCGCTAATGGGGTACTAGCTGCGCTAGTACTCGTTAGCAACAATCCGAACTAGCGCATACACCGCACTGCATTACTCTGTGCTGCCTTCAAGACTGACGTCATGCGCTTTGCTTTGCTGCGTAATCACAAATGGCACTCAGCCCGTTTTGCTGAAAAGAAAACAAATCTTGCTTGCCCTGTTGTGTTCCTCCAGACAGCAGATCGTGCTTCCGCAGTGTTGCTTTTCCCACCATCCCTCCCTATCCAACTTATTCACACAATCATTATGATTATCGTACCCACTGATCGGATCCACTCTCACAACTGATGTTTTCTAGCTATTTGCTGCAGCTCTGCCTTGAGCTATATTACATCCATTTAGCATTGCAGCTCTACGTTGAGCTAACAGCAGCTCTACTTTGAGCTAACAGCAGCTCTACTTTGAGCTAACAGCAGCTCTACTTTGAGCTAACCGCAGCTCTACTTTGAGCTAACCGCAGCTCTACTTTGAGCTAACCGCAGCTCTACTTTGAGCTAACCGCAGCTCTACTTTGAGCTAACAGCAGCTCTACCTTGAGCTAACCGCAGCTCTACCTTGAGCTAACCGCAGCTCTACTTTGAGCTAACAGCAGCTCTACTTTGAGCTTCAAACCAGTTGTTTCGAAACCAGCACCCCTCAATCCAAAGATGCCGCTTTGTTGACTTGTTTGTGTGAAGGACGGGGGCTAACCCACAAAAATCCGGAGATCGCTAACTTAAATAATTGACGTTAAAGGGGAAGTATACCCTAAAATCAAATTTTCACCAGTTGTAGTCTTCGGGGTGCTGAGTCCAATGGTCTTGATCCGAGGAAGCTGAGAGACTCCCTTCCTCCTTTATTCCCAATGGAACTCGCGCACTTCCACCGAAACTAGATAGGGATTTGTATGGAAACGTCACTAAAGCATAAATCCCTATCTAGTAGGGCGCAGTCACCCAGTTTCGGTGAAAGTGCGCGAGTTCGATTGGGAATAAAGGAAGAAGGGAGCGTATCGGCTTCCTCGGACCAAGACCATTGGACTCAGCACCCCGAAGACTACAACTGGTGAAAATTTGATTTTAGGGTATACTTCCCCTTTAAACTATCTAGTCTTACAGTGCTACATGTCTGTGTGACAATGTGAGTTTTTTGACATACACCTGGTATGTACATATTGTGCAGTGGGTGGTCAGCGGCATGTTTGGACAATAAGAATGTCAGGATTATTAGAAGTTTTCTGCAGCAATTCAGAGTGCAATTTCAGAATTCCACCAGCATACAAGAGCAATCCGCGACGCAACAACAGTAACATTTGTATGGTGCAAGCACAAACACGCCATCCGAAGAACAAAAAGGTTGGCTTACCGGGCTACAATTTGATCAAGTCTATCCATCCATGACTTTGCCGTGTGGCAGTTTTGCAGCACTACCCAGTTTCCAATTTCTTTGGCCTTCTGGATAAGTTCGTCAGCCAGTGGGCCACCATTACAGCCGACGGCTTGGCTCACAACTGATACTGCATTCTCTTGAGCTTTGGCAACACGCAGGATTGTCTTCACTGCCTCAGAACCTACATATGTAGGATAGCAGTACAGTTCATACAGCCAATGTGAGACAACGAGCACAGTAATAGCACACAGTACACACATTATGGTAGACTGCACTTGGCACACAATAATCACCGTAGCAGCAGCAGCAGCACCGGGCAACAACAGCAGGGGGCAACAACAACAGCACTAACCTTCAGAAACGATAAGCATGAGTGGAGTATGGTAGTCAAAGATGTCAAAGGTTTCCGACAGAGTCAAGGGTGATGGCAGCTCATCGATTTCCAGTACTTTTGGCACGAGGTCCTTGACAAACTCCAGCAAGCAGTTTGGTCGGAGAATGCGAACAAGAATGAGCTTGCACAAGGGCGAGAGGTCATCAAGCACCACATCTCCTTCCTTTCTGGTATCCTGAGCGCCGGCTGCAGCTGCTCCTGCTAGATCTGCAGCCGTTAGCTTCCACTGGACTGTGTTGATGCTGCCCTCCACAAACCGTTCCCAGTATGTTGGATGTGTCAACATGTGGCGGCATATTCCCTTGAAGGCAAACGTCAGTTTAGCGTCAAGATGTTGAACTTGCCGCCACTGGCGTGTTGTCAGCCAGCTGATGGGTGGCTTTGCCGGGCCACCACCACCGCCAGCATACAATGGGACAAACGCTGCCGTGTTCTCTCCCCCTTGCTCACGGACAGCACTGAACACCTCCGCCAGCGACTGATGGCCCGCGAGATGCTCGTGTTCGCCACCACGTCCAATGCTGGGCTTGCTGTCGTAGAGAGGTGCCTGGATTAGCGTTTCCCAAAGCAGAGAGCTCTGCTTCTTGTCCACCTGGTCTTCCAGCAGAACATGCACAACAACGAGCAGTGCAAACACGTGCTGATGCTGCTCTGCCAGGCTGCCCAGCACCAAGCCGAAGCCCACACGTGTGACCTCCGCCACAAAGATGTCGACGATCGTGTCGCGTCGCGTCTCGTCGGTTTCCGTCACGATCTCGCGAGCCTTGAGCACGGCGGCGATGAAGCCCTTTCGATACAGCTGGCTGGATACGTGGTACAGGCCTGATAATGATGGCAGGTCTTGGATGGCGGAAAAAACAGCACCGCCTCGCTTCGCAATCTACCACAGCAACACAAGCAAGTACAGAAAGCATCAAGCTAAGCCCAGGAACAAGCTAGAAGTTTAACATGTCTACCATTCTCACTCTTCCTATGAGGGCATGCAGCATTGATGTGCAAGTGCTATCATACAGTGTGCTGAAGCCATGGACTGGAAACTATTCGAACGTCTACCCTCCGTGGACTAAATGAAGATCAAGGCTTCGGGGTGCACAGTCATATACGTTTAAGTGCAGCATCATTGCAATAACGCTATGTCAACAAATGGCTCATATTAAATATAATGTTAATATTCACACCATTCTCTACGAAAATCCCAAAAGGAGCCTCACAAAGCCGACATTGATTCCACCCTTACCCCTCTGTAATACGCCCGTCCATTCTCCACTTCCAACTGTGCTTTCTCGGCCGATTCCATTTTCTTTGCCACGTTGCTGGCTGTCTCCTTGCAACGCATCAGCTGCTCCACAGCACTGGTATCCTCTAGCAACACACCTAGGGCAGCAAGCAAGACACCAGTCATCAAACATGCCATCACTCAGCCAAGAGCCTGGGCAAGTGCTAGCCTAGAACATCCACGCAAGCCATAATTCACATACACTCTAGAGAGGTTAAGCTGCACATTATTTTCGACGCAACGCGGAAGTTGAGCTCGCGTTATTTGGCTCGTGCGTTGGAAAACGACGTGAATAACCTGCAGCTCATGTCGAAATTTGGAGTTTTACGCCAATTTTGACATGAAACTGTGTGTCACGTCAGAAATAACGTGAAGTTCAACCTCTCTAATAGCCCAATCAGCCCCACCAGCGTTCACTGCGTGGTACAATACGGTATGTCCATCAACAATATCCCAGTATTCAGCACTCCTACCGGAAATAATACAACACTATTAATTAAGGTTCTGTGAAGAAGTTAAAACTATGAATATGTTCACCGTGTCCAAAATTGAACTCAAGAGTACAGTGTTCTCCCATCGCCTATACTGGCAAGGAAGTGCAATGGCAGGGATTCAATACGGCATGGTGAAACTTGATAGTGGCAATTACTTACTGCCACCTTCTTCGAAGACTGTCAGCATCTGATTCTCAACTGCTTCCAACTCCAGCTGCAATGCAGATATCTCTTGCAGCAGCTCTGGCCGCCGCTTCTCCAGCTCGGGCATTTCCTAAGTAGGGCAAGCAGGCCAAGTAAAACAAGAACTTTCAGTGGATGTGACCGGGACACACTGCGCAGGTACAGTATACATAAACTTCATCTAACACATAGCAGCATGCCGTGGAGATCGATAAATAGAGATATATAGATAGATAGAGAGGAGAAAGAGAGAGCGACAGACAGAGAGAGATAGAGGGAGCGAGTGAGTAAGCGAAAGAGAGAGAGAGAGAGAGAGAGAGAGAGAGAGTGAGAGAGAGAGAGAGAGAGAGAGAGAAAGAGAGAGAGAGAGAGAGTGAGAGAGAGAGAGAGAGAGAGAGAGAGAGAGAGAGAGAGAGAGAGAGAGAGAGAGAGAGAGAGGAGAAAGGAGAGAAGAGAGAGAGCAGAGAGAATAGAGAAAAGAAAGGGGAGAGGGGAGGGAGAGTGGAAGAGAGAGGAGAGAAAAAAGGAGAGAGGGGAGGGAGAGAGGAAGAGAGGGAGAGGAACTGGAGAGAGGAGGATAGAGGAAGAGAGAGGAGACCATTAGAAAGTGAGAGAAAGAGAGGGAGAGATAGAGTAAACAGAGACTTTTAGGCTCTTACGTAAGACAGGATATCTGTCAGCAGCTGATCCTTCAAAGCATCGAGAGTAATGGTGAAGTTGATGACAGTGGTTAGACAGAAGACCTCGGGCAAGTAGTTAGGTTTCATTTCGGCACTCACCAGATACATCCTGTGCAGAAAAATCGCAACTTATCATCCGATTTGACCAAAAAAGTGAATGGAATAATTATGGCTGTCTGCAGCCAACCGTGCACTAGTTATGACTAATGTGAGGTGTGAGATAGAGCAGTGAGCGCATGTATAAAAGCTAGGGGTGAAAGGGGTTATCCGGGTACCCGGGTACCCGTATGTTTAGCTGCTGTTCCGTTAGCAAACAAGTACCCGTTAGCCGTGTACAATGGTACAGTATGGCATTGGTAGCTGGCTTGGACAGTCGCACGGTTCGATGTACTTGTTGGTTGTTCGGTCCTACTTCATATGACAATTTTGGCTGGTTTTGCATGTAGCACAGTAAGTACACGTGCTGCGCTTGTCGCGATGTGGTGTATTTGCTGTGAATTCCATGACTTCGCATGTCCTCCTGGCACGAAGTGTGGAAGGCTATTGTATAGTAACTGCTACTACTGGCTGCTAAAGAGTATCCGATAACCCGCCCGTTAAGCCAGGTACCCATTTGTAACCTTAAAGGGTAACCGTTTCACCCCTAAATTAAAAACATGAGTAGCATGCATGTCCAGTACATCACACTAGAGTGGTGGACATACAGCCTATAGTACAGTGCATGGTAGGACCAATTACATCATCATTACATGATGTATTCATGTAATGAATTCAGTTTAGCGTAGGCGCACATCTCGCAACTACGTATCTGCTGCGCTACAGCACCCTCTACGGTTCTGGCCGCGGCACTTGTTTAGCGCGCCTTGCCGCGACCGGCAAGACCGCCTGCTGTGCATCACATTAATTTATGCGTACGCCATCACAATAATTAATTCAGTTTTTGTTGTGTCCCTCAGTCAAGTCATATTATTATGACTTCTCACGAGCATGCGCACTAGAGATGCATGCTCGTGTGAAGTTGGTTTTGGGATGTTCGGAGGCAGTCTTCTCTTGCTGCAGCTGAGTCTGGTTGAAGATAATGACATTCCGAGTTCAAAGCAGTTCAGAGTGAGCCAGTTACGTGTGTGTATAAACTGCATGATTAGATCATTGTATGGTCTAGGCAGGGACCATACAAATGGCGACGAATACTTACTTGCCCTACGCCGCCACCATCGAGCCTTTCGACGGGGGTGATTTCAAAGACTATCGCGAACGCGTTGAATTTTTCTTCTGTGCCAATAGTATTGGTGTCGTGGCGTCCAATGCCTCTTCTGGTGAAAAGAGAGCAGCGGAGAAGAGAATGACAGCGCATCTAATTTCCCTGCTCTCTAAGACGGTCTACTCAACCTTGAAATCCCTGATCCTACCTGACGAGATCGCGTCAAAGAAGTATGACGAGCTTTGTGCTGTACTGGAGAAATACTACAAAAAGAACACTACCCCAACCACCGCCGCTTTTCAGTTTCGCCAAGTCTCCCAAGCTCCGGGTGAAACTACAGTCGATTTTGCTAATAAACTCAAGCGTGCTGCTGTCGATTGTCAATTTGGCTCCCATCGTGACCGAGCCCTCACGGACCAGTTTATTTCGGGCATGGCAAGCTCGACGATACGACGGAAATTGTTACTCTCCAAGGAGTCCGATATTGACACGTTTGAGAAAGTCATCGACCTGGCTAGCAAGGAGGAACTGGCCATTTCCTACTCAAAACAATTCACTGCACCCTCTGCTGCTTCTGCGTCGATCGGGTCTCCCACGGACATTCCCGTACACATGACGAAGGAACGTCGATCCACCAAGCAGCCGATGGCGTCCGGAAAGCGTTGTTTTCGCTGCGGGTCGGATATGCACCTGGCAAACAAGTGTCGACATAAGGACGCCGAGTGCCGGTACTGCCACAAACGGGGGCATCTGGAGAAGGTTTGTCGTACTAAACTGCAGAGAGACAAGCGTGACTGTCACCATGTCATGGGTGAGGATCTTTCTACCTCCGACTCTGACTGTGAAGACGCAGGTGAGAGCGTTCCAATGTATACTGTACGTGATACTACAGGCAGCGTACCCCCGTTTGCTGTGGATGTTGTAATCAATGAGGTACCCATCCCTATTCGCATGGAAGTTGATACTGGCAGTGGTGTGTCCATACTAAATAAACGGGATTTCGAGAAGCTGGGTGGGGTTCTGTCTACCTTACCTAAATCCACCGTACTGTTGAGGGGTTTCTCTGATAAGCCTATTACCTGCCTGGGCGAGCTTGAAATGAATGTCACCTTGAATGGTACGACAGCGCCCGTTAAGCTCAGAGTTGTAGATGTCTCGGGACCATCCCTTTTGGGAAGGGACATGCTACAACTGTTTCAATTACCATGGAATGAAATCTTCTCTGTCAAAACTAGAATTGATGAAACCGTGGCACAAATTCAACTGCGTGAGGAAATTATGGCCCAATTTCCAGATCTGTTTGATTCTACCTCAATGGGCAAACTAAACACAATGAAGGTCAACCTGCGTGTTGACGACGCACACCCGGTTTTCCTCAAGCCTCGCAAAGTCCCATTTGCAATTACTGAGAAATACGATGAGGCTCTTGATCAACTCGAGCGCGATGGCATTCTCGAGAAAGTTGAATATTCACAATGGGCAACGCCAACTGTTCCGGTCAAAAAGCCGGATGGCTCGATTCGCATTTGTGCGGATTACTCGCGCACTCTGAATGCACATTCACCGCTGGAAAGCTATCCGCTACCTACAATCGCTGAGATCCGCGCTAAATTGTCAGGCGGTACGAAATTCACCAAAATCGATCTCAAGCAGGCGTATCACCAGCTCGAGCTCGATGAATCATGCCGAAAGTACACCACTATCAATACTCACCGTGGTTTGTTTGAATATGTGCGCTTACCGTTCGGTGTACACTCGGCTGTTGCCATTTTTCAGCGCACCATGGAGACTGTGCTGGCTGGCATCGATGGATGCATTGTATACATCGATGACATTGTGGTTACGGGCAAAACACCTGACGAGCATCGAGCGACCCTTGTGAAAGTTCTCCAGCGCCTGCAAGAAGTCGGCATGAAACTAAAACTCGAGAAGTTTGAAGTCATGCTTGACAGCATCTCCTACTTGGGGCACACATTCTCAGCGGAGGGTGTATCGCCATCAGCCGAGCGCACTACAGCCATGAAAGACGCAAAACCTCCAACTACTGTGAGTGAACTGCAATCGTTCATCGGTTCTGCGAACTACGTCAGAGCATTCATTCCGAATTTTGCCACCATCATGGCACCGTTGTACGCCTTACTCAAAAAAGATGCTGTGTGGAAGTGGGAGTCTAGTGAGAGCAACGCGTTTGACGCAATCAGATGTGCACTCTGCGCCACTGAAACGTTGGCTTTCTACTCCACTACGAAGGACATCAAGGTCCAAGTTGACGCCTCAGGCGTAGGTCTAGGAGCGGTGCTATTGCAAGAAGAGCGACCTGGTCATTTCCGTCCCATTGCATATGCCTCGCGTGTTTTGACCAAGGCGGAAAAGAACTACTCTAACATCGAGCGAGAGGCGCTTGCCGTGGTGTTCGGAGCTACTACTTTCCGCCAGTACCTTCTCGGTCGCAAGTTCATTTTCGAAACAGACCACCAGCCGCTTGTTAAACTGCTTGGGTGTACAGACGGCGTTCCGTACTTGGTGTCACCGAGACTCAAGAAATGGAAGTTGGCCCTAGCGGCATACGACTACTCTATCAAGCACATCCCAGGGCGCCAAAACCCATTCGCTGATTTCATGTCGCGCCAACCTGGTCCTGGCGCTCCCTGCTCCGACGAGGTAGCTGATGAACAGGTACTATTCATTGAAAGCGAAGTCATTAATGCGGACACAGTTGCTACCGAAACGCAACGGGATCCTATACTGAAGACAGTTTGGCACCATGTACTGAATGGGTGGCCGGAAACCATTGATCAAACTCTACAGCCGTACTTTGCGAAGCGCTGGGAGTTGTCTGTGTCTGACAATATCCTTCTTTGGAACGATCGTGTCATTGTTCCAGAATCATTACGTGAGTTCTTGCTGAACGATCTTCACTATGAACACACAGGTGTAGTTCGTATGAAACGCTTGGCACGTCGCTACATGTGGTGGCCTCGTATCGACAGAGATTTGGAGCAGGTTTGCGCTCAGTGTCCGGAATGCCAAGCTGAAGCACGCCTGCCAGCGAAGGAGTTTGGTAGCTGGTCATGGCCGACGGGACCTTGGCAACGCTTACATATTGATTACGCCGGTCCTTTCATGGGCAAGATGTTTCTTGTCATTGTTGATTCATATTCTCGATTTCTGGATATTGTTCCTATGGACCGTGCAACGTCCGCTACTACTATCGCTGCTTTACGCCGTGTCTTCGCTTTGTTTGGCCTACCACATCACATCGTATCGGACAACGGCTCACAATTCACGAGTGAAGAATTTCAATCATTCCTACACAAGAATGGCATTCGACACACTTGTTCCGCTCCTGGACATCCGGCAACCAACGGGTTAGCAGAACGCTATGTTGGGGTTTTCAAGTCAAAATTGAAAGCCATGGGTACGCAGGGTGACCTACACGCTACGCTACAACGCTTCCTCCTGTCACATCGTACAACCCCTTCAGCAAACAACAAGTCACCAGCTGAGATGCTTATGATGCGTCAACCACGTACCCGTTTTGACACGCTAAAACAGACCGCCAAACCGTCTGTTGACGCTTACGAACGCAACATGAACAAGACCCCAGAATTCCAACCAGGCGACGCTGTGTTCACTCTAAATTTTGGCTCTTATGGTTCAAAGTGGGTCCCAGGTCGCATCGTGTCAGTCATCAGTCCAGTCAACTACCAAGTTCAAGTTCAGGATGCTTTGTGGAAGCGTCATCGCAACCAGTTGAGAGCACGTTCAGTTCCTTTGTCTGAGTTTGTGAGGGAGGATGTGGCTGAAGCTCCCCCTAAATCGACGCATCAGGCTCCATCGTCATCCGCTGATACTGGTCCCAGTGTTTCTTCTACCGGTACAGTTTCAAGTTCAAGTCCTACTACCGC